TTAGTCTTTGCAACTTTACAGATCTTCTTTATGCACCAAGAGCTTGTAACACTTCAAAGAGAAAGGAAAAATTTAAAATAGCATCATATGACCCCTTTAAAGGTGCAGTAGGAGATTTTGGAAAATGCTAACTTCAGCCTGATAGCACTGAAAGCGAACGTCCCTCCCTCCCTGCAATCGCCGTCCAAAGCCACGCCCCCTGAACGCATTTACGCTCACAGACCAGAGTACCAGAGACAACATTACTACAATAGGCTACATCAGCCGTTCTCAATTCCAGCCCATGTTCCGAAGTGAAGTAAACTTCAACGGATTTCCCCTGCTCAGGGAGTAGGGAGCAATGAATGTAACTATGGCGCGCTCTCTTCATTTTATCAAATGATCATAATCACATCTATTCATTTTACAGTCCTGCTACTAGCCTTTTATTTAGATTAAAACCCCTTTAATTCGGGCGAGGAAGCCTGCGTTTTGAGTGGCTTTTGCACATGCTGTCATGCCGGGGACTATATGCCACTGCAATTAATGCATTTTGCAGTATTAAGGTTAACGATTAATCGATTAATTGATCGTTAGGGCTGTCAAAATTGCTGAAAAACTAAATTCGAATTTTTTACTTAAATATTATCAATATTCAAATTATATTCGAATTTAAAAGGCATCATTTCAGTTAGGGGGGAAAAAGCTGTTGGCTTCTCTCCTGAGGCCACAAGAGGGTGCATCGAACAAAATATTATGCACGTTTCTTCAAAGTAGAGGTCTGCATTCCAGAGACCGGATATTTTGCGCTGCGGGATTAAATTCCCGAATAAAACGCGGTACCAGTCGGTAACTCTGGTGTAATTTGAACGGGAGCGGGCGGTCTAACAATATCCCGTTCCCGACATCCATTTAGAACAGCATATCTGCACTTTATTCTTATTGACCACCGGTACAGCTTGCGTTCAGTATGCATGCACTGCATGCATGCTTTAAACGTCACGCGTTTTATTAGCGTGGTCTGTGCGCAGCATATGCATAACGATGCTCAGAGCAGGCTGTACCTGTGGTAAATATACGGCCCTCAGACAGAACAGGCAGGTTGTCGATGAGTGACAGAGCTGAATAAGGATGGAGCAAAGTGTGGATGCGCTGTCCTTGAGGGACGTTCAACTCGGTTTTATTTATATTTTGCTTAGCCTATAATTTTAAATGAAAGATGTCGTATTTATTTTTCTCTGCGACACTTTTCCTACTGTATTGACAGAAAAATGTCAAACGAATTTTGTATTTGAACAAGACGAATAAAAATAGCCAATAGGCTATTTTTGTACAACCTACATTTTAATTTTTTTTTTCTCTGCAACACTTTTTCCTATTGTGTGTCAAAGTTAAACGAATTGTATCCTGACAAGACGAATAAAAATAAGAAATACAATTTTTGTACAACATTTTTATTTTCTCTGACACTTTTTTTCCTACTGCGTTGCATTAAATATTAAACGAATTTTGGTGTCTTAAGATAATTCATATAAATTCAAGTCAAAGTCAATAAATTCAAGGCTCTTGACAAGACGAATAAAATAACATACAATTTTGTGCAGACTACACTTTTGTCAGCCTATCTCCCTTTCTTTCAGTAGCGGAAATTTAAATGTGAGATTCTGGAAACGAGATCTAAATTTAGCGGGAACGGTCGGGTCGGGAAGAAAATTATTCTAAGCGGACAGCGGGTGAACAAAGAGTGAATATATAGCGGGAGCGAGTGGATGCGGAATAGAACCTTGCGGGAGCGGGACTAAAAAAACAGTCCCGCATAGACCACTACTTCAAAGCATAATAAAATAACACGACTATCTTTGAAAAAAAGTGCATAATGTTTAAAATAATGTTTATAAACCTTATATAATTAAAGTTGATTAAACAATTAGAAACAAAACAGAATCATGCATGTATGTATAGTTTAATACAAAGGACCGAAAACCAATCACAAAGAGTACTTTCTTCATGTAAAAACATGAGATGCAGTGGGATGGGAAAAAAAGCTATAAAGTCTTGAGACATGTTTTTAAAAAGTTGAACATATTAATTTTCGAGTGCAATTCGAATGCAACGTTTTTGTATTCGAATGTGGATTTTTATTTTAGTAGATCGGGTTGTTGATGTTTGTCTGCCATTCTTGCTCTGTCTGCACAGCGTGCGTGAACACGCTGATGACCTATCCTGTCTGTGCGAACCAGGTGCGCAGAGGTATGCTAATACATACGTTGACAGGTAGGTAGGAAAGCAAATTAAAACGCTCGAACATTTCTTGGTCCTATGCCTTCCACAGAATATATAAATTAAGGCTAGGAGTATTCTATAGTCTTTGCTTCCAATCTGGCTGGAATGCGCTGATGACGTATGTATGCAAATACATACTTTGACAGGCAGGCAAGACAGCCTACCTTCATCTTCGGACTGAACATTTTGATTGGACGAACATTCTATGGTCCTAAGCCTTCCACAGGTGATATAAATACATATAAATATTTCGACCACTTAACTTAGTCTTAGTGATTGCTATCGGGATGTGAAGAGACTTTCAACCAGCATAACAAAAAAATGTTTCTGAAGACAATCACCTATTGCACCTAGAGATGCACCGATCGATCGGCCAGGGATCGGAATAGGACGATTTTCCTCATGATCAACCTGGATCGGTGATCGGCCGATCAGTCTCACTTCTTTCCAATTCCGAGCTGATCCGTTTTGTTACCAACTGCACAGGCAATAACGTCTGCCGCGCATTCTCGCTCTCTTCTCTCCGACGACCCCTTCTGTCTCACACACGTCTCATTCGCTCCAGTTAAATGCTTGTATTGCGCATTATTTTAGTAATTCCCACAGGTTTCGCGCTTACACCAAAAGGTCAGTAGGGATGTAACGATTCACTCAACTCACGATTCGATTCACGATTTTGATTTCACGATTCGATTCACTATATATATATTTTTTTTACAACATGAGATTGAAGACAAATTATTAATTAAATGTGTCCTTTTATTATTGCTTGGACAAAATGCTGCACATTTCTTTGTGAAACTGAAATA